AAAGACAGAACCAGACAAAGTTTGTTAGAACTTTAACACTACGTTGACACAGCAAGCAGCAGAAGCAGCTGGTTTACATGCAAAGTCAATGGTTGATGCGTGTCAAGGAGCAGCAAAAGCTCCTGCAGCATCTAGAGCAGCAGGAGCAGCGCACCATGAGCTTCTGATCATCTGAGGCACTTTAGAAGCAGCAGCTGCTGGAGTTGGAAATATGTAACTTTAGCTGCTGGACGCACCACATCAACCAATCAGAAAAGCTGATCTGGGAGCTGGCAGGGAGTCAGACACAGCACTGCTGATGCAGAGCGCTATGATCACTCCTCTGAAACAGTTTAACGCCTAAATTCACTTAAAATGTAGAAACCTGCCAGCAGAATATGTTTGCTTTTATTATCCTGGTTCCTGCAGTTTGTAGCACATAACTGAAAAACGCTAACATCTACTTCCAGCCGCCACAAATATTTGCAGAAAATCGCTTAGAGGCGAGTGGGCCTGAGGCAGCTGCTGCTGGGGATTCCCAGTGACGGCGCCCCGCTGGTATGTGTGGGTCTGAGCGGCTCCCACAGAGAAATAATATTTGAAGGCAGGATGGTAATCTGGATGAACTGACTGAACAGACCATGTTTTCAGATGGACTCAAAGGATTCAAACTACTTTTTACCCACTGATCACAGCAAATATAGCTGCCATTAAAGGCAAAGAAAGGATAGGGTAGCTCCGCCCGACGCGCATCAGACCCACTTTTCCACCGCGCAGCCAGAGCAGTTTTTTATTATTAACTTTTCAGAATCTGTCCAAATCAAATGTGGGGAATTGTTGTAATGTGTGAACAGCACAGAAACAGCCTAGTTGAAGCCTCTCTATACGCAGCCAGTGTGACATGGAAAAAATCGGATCGGAGGTTCAAAAGTGGTACGCAGCAGGTGAATTCGGGCCTTTAGAAGAACAGAACCTCTCAATGTTTGAAACTCACCACTGGCTCCATCCTTGGTTCTGGTTCTGAACTGGGAGCAGTTAATGTTCCAAGTAGACAGGCGGTACTGACCCGCTTCAGAGGTGAGACCCCGGCTGGAGCTGCGGTGTGTTCAGGTTCTGATTGATTATGAACTGATGCTAATTTCTGCTGTAGCTGATTGTAGGAACATTATGATTGGAAGTCACAGAAATGCTGCAGGTTCTGGATGGTCCACTAAGCATTTCATGTTGAAACATGTTCAGAACGTCCCGGTTCTATCATCAGGTTCTGATCCTGTTAGCTGACCCTTTTGCTCTGCTTGTCCTCAGGGAGACCGCGGCCGTGTGGAAACCGAAGGACTCGGCATCCTTCAGCACCGCGGCCCCGGGCGCCCCAGGGGCCGGGGGAGAGGAAGAGGACGGGGGAGAGGAAGAGGCAGGGGCCGAGGCCGATCCCTGGGGCCTCCTCCTAAGGTTGGTCAGCTTTCAATGCGTCACTAAAACGTTTGCTCCAGATTCGTGCTGTGGATCAGTCTTTGGTTCCCTGAACGTCTCATCTACCAGGTTCTGCTTCCAGGTCTGATGAGGGATTTCTGTCTCAGTCTGATCAAAAATCAGCATTTTAAAAAACAAACTCTTATTTAAAACAATCGTTTTTCACAACCAGCTAGAGATGAGCGATGGCTAAAGTTATGATCGCTCCCTGCATCTCTTATCCTTTGCTAAAGGATGTTTATTTGGGTGTAAACTGATCTGTGTAACACTCATTATCGTGGCATTTTTACCACATAAATGGAAGAACAGAGCTTCAAACTCAGCCCAATAAAAGCAGCACATACCTAAAATGATCATTATTTGCTTTAAAGGTCCGGAATTGATCTCTAAGCGGCTGATCCCTGCAGCTGTATGAAGGTAGATTTGTTTCTTTATCTTTCAATCAAAAAAAAAGGTTGCTTCAGTAAAAAAATATATTTTCAATTAAAAAAAATCTTCACTTCAATGAAAAAAAACATATTTTCAATCAAAGAAAAAAAAGTATTTGAATGCAAAAATATATTTGAGACTCAAAAAAATACATTTGAACACTGCTTTTCTTTGATTGAAAATGTTTTATTTGATAATAGTGCAGTCTTTTTTGTTTAAAGCAACTTTTTTAATTGAAGTAACATTGTTTTTTGATTGGACCATATAATGGGTCTTTATTATTCAATCAAAAAAGAAGTTGCTTCAAACAAACAAACAACAGAATCAATAAAAAAAAGTAACTTCAATAAAAAGATAAACATTTTCAATCATAGAAAATAGTTTTTGAATACAAATAAAATATTTGAGACTCATAAAATTGCATCTGAACACTTTTTTTTTTATTGTTGAAAATTTTCTCTTTGGTTGAAGGGATCTACTTTGTGTTTGGGCCATACATGGGTAGGACATTTGTGTCTTAATCATTCAATTTCCCAAAAACTTCAGCATAACCGGTTATTATTCAATCAATAAAAAAGGAATTTTTTATTGATTGAATAATAAAGAAACAAATCTACCTTCATACAGCTGTTACTAGAGGATCAGTTATAAACAGCAGAGGACAAAGTACTCAACAGTAGTGCCTGAGTAAAGTATTGATACTCATAATCAAATCTTACTCAACTGCAAGTTAAAGTTACTCGGCCAAAGATCTACTGACTGTAGGAACTCCACATTCAAAGCTCGTCTGGAGCTGCATTTCACCTCCTGTTATTAACAGTCTCTGCTCAAACAAATTAAAGGAACACTTTAAAAACACATCAGATCTCAATGGGGCAAAAAAATATGCTGTTAATTTAAACTGATATGGACCGAGTGATTTGTTAGGAACAAAAGGATGCCACATCATTTGATGGACATGAAAATTATCAACCTACAGAGGGCTGAATTTAAAGACACCCCAAAAATTACAGTGAAAAAATTATGCAGCAGGCTAGTCCATTTTGCTGAAATTTCATTGCAACAACTCAAAAAGGTATTCAGTAATTTGTATGGCCCCCACGTACATGTATGCATGCCTGAAAACGTTGGGGCATGCTTCTAATGAGACGACGGATGGCGTCCTGGGGTATCTCCTCCTACATCTGGACCAGGGCATCACTGAGCTCCTGGACAGTCTGAGGTGCAACCTGGCGGCGTCGGATGGATCGAAACAATGTCCCAGAGGTCTTCTATTGGATTTAGGTCAGGCGAGCGTGGGGGCCAATCAATGGTATCAATTCCCTCATCCTCCAGGAACTGCATGCATACTCTCGCCGCATGAGGCCGGGCATTGTCGTGCACCAGGAGGAACCCAGAACCCACTGCACCATCATAGGGTCTGACAATGGGTGCAAGGATTTCATCCCGATGCTTAATGGCAGTCAGGGTGCCGTTGTCTAGCCTGTATAGGTCTGTGCGTCCCTCAATGAATATGCCTCCCCAGACCATCACTGACCCACCACCAAACTGGTCATGCTGAACGATGTTACAGGCAGCATAACGTTCTCCACGGCTTCTCCAGACCCTTTCACGTCTGTCACATGTGCTCAGGGTGAATCTGCTCTCATCCGTGAAAAGCACAGGGCGCCAGTGGCGGACTGCAAAGTTCCGGTGTTCTGTGGCAAATGCCAATCGAGCTCCACGTTGCCAGGCAGTGAGCACAGGGCCCAACAGAGGACGTCGGGCCCTCAGGCCACCCTCATGAAATCTGTTTCTGATTGTTTGGTCAGAGACATTCACACCACTGGTCTGCTGGAGGTCATTTTGTAGGGCTCTGGCAGTGCTCCTCCTGCTCCTCTTTGCAGAAAGGAGCAGATACCGGTCCGGCTGATGGGTTGTAGACCTTCTACGGCCCTGTCCAGCTCTCCTGGAGTAACTGCCTGTCTCCTGGAATCTCCTCCATGCTCTTGAGATTGTGCTGGGAGACACAGCAAACCTTCTGGCAATGGCACGGATTGATGTGCCATCCTGGAGGAGTTGGACTGCCTGTGGAACCTCTGTAGGGTCCAGGTAGCGCCTCATGCTAACAGTAGTGACGGTGACCCTAGCCAAATGCAAAACTGGTGAAAAAGAGTCAGAAAAGATGAGGGGGGGAAAAATGTCAGTGGCCTCCATCTGGAAAACCATTCCTGTTTTGATGGTCGTCTCGTTGTTGCCCCTCTAGTGCACCTGTTGTTCATTTCATTAACACCAAATACTTACCTGACCAAATCAATATCCCAGAAGTTTAATTAACTTGATGCTATACTCTGATTACAAAGTGTTCCTTTAATTTTGTTGAATAGTGTAGAATATTCTCGCCTAAAATGATCTTAAAACGTACTTTTATTCAACAACGGCAACAGAAAAAAGAACATTTAAGCTGAGCTCTGTAAGCGCTAACCTGGAAGCTGCTGCAGTGCATGCTGGGACAGCTGTCAGTCCATAGAACGGACAAGTCTGCTCAGATGCATGCTGGGTAAAGAGGCAGGAGCCAGAACAACATGCGGGGACTTTGTCCGCTCTCTGTCTGCCGCTCTTATGAATTGGAACAGTGCTAGAACAGAGACTTGTGACGTTTCACGAGGACACAAGCTTACGAGAACGCAGAAGAACACATGTTGAGAAACGGCCTCTGACTTTATGCAGCGCCTATCCAGGCCTACCGGAGCTGCATCCATCCAGTCACACAGGAAGGATGAGACCGAGGTGGAGAAACATGAGAGCAACAGCCCTGCTGGCAGCAAGGCACTGGAGGGGTGATGATCTGGGCTCACCCTGCAGCCATGTGACCCACTCAGAGAACCAGGTGTTCCTCTGTAAACCAGTGGATTCTAGAGTCCACCCAGTTTGGGTCACCAGCAGGAAAAAGAGTTCAGATGGGAAAGAAGAGCAGAAGTATAATGATGTTGCCTGGGTGGACCACCCTGCTAGACCGAGCAGAAACAAAATGTCTGATGGAGCTTAAACAAGCTGGGCCAACAGCCCTGCACTGGGATTTTCACACTCAGATGGGATCATGGAGGCTGATGAGTTTTTGGCGACTTTAGGTCAGATTGAAACCTTCCAGAACCAGTGAGGAACCACCTGTGCCTTCTTCCAATCAGATTCTGTTTGATGTTTCTTCTGTCATCTGATTGGTTGGTTCTGGCAGGTGACAGTTGGGCTGGTGGGTAGACCCGGTCGTCGAGGGCGACCCCCGAAGCTTGGCGTCCTCCCAGTGACTGTGAAGCAGCAGGCAGAGAGGAGACAGCAAAGGCTGCAGGAGGTAAGAGGGAGCTCTGCTGGTCACCAGCATTCTGTGATGTCAGGAGGTCACCGAGCCGCTGACCTCATGCCTGACCGGTAATCTGTGTCTCTGACTGCCTACAGCTGGTGGAGCAGTGTGAGGATGAAGAACTGATGGAGGTCGTTCTTCCTCGTTTGACCAGTATGTTAAGTCTGTGGGAGCTGCTGCTGGCAAAGGTGAGTAAAACATTTACACAAGCATGAGACCAGCAGTGATCAACAATAAAGGCGTTAATGCTGAGGAAGACATTTGGACACATCTGTGTTTATTCCAGCCTGGAATGGATTCATTAAGATGTAATAAGACGTTTAGTAGCTGAAATAAATTTGTTTAAATTCAGTTTACTTCTTTAGCTCCAATTCATCGCGTCAGCCCAGATCTTTATAGATCTAGATCAACCAGAGCATCCAGTCAGATTCAAGTTTGTAAGGAAAAAGCAGCTGATTGCATCCAGTCACTGACTTTGCAGGATCCAGGCAGGTGAGATCAGGGCCGCTGGAAGTCATTTGGATCAGGGGGTGCTGTGAAACAGATTTATTTTAGTTTTTTTGGACAAAATACCTATGAGCCTAGAGGCTTATTTAAAATGCAATAAATAAATAGGGCCAAGGCTAATTTATACTCAGAAACCAGATCATCTGCATAGGTGTAGCGGTGACGCCCCCCTCCCCCACCCCCTACATCCTTCCACAGACAATCTGCTGCACCTCTCCAAAATTGACAGACAGGAGGCCTCTGATTGGTCAAATCTACATCCGCTCTACACTATACATATTTCCTGTTTGGTTCCTTACTGGCTTGTTTTGTTTGTCCAACTGCCATTGTGTAAAACGACTGTTGAAGATGGACCAGCTAGAAGAACGAGGTGCAGGAGAACGCTGGGACCCTTTTTCCACCTGGATCCCTGCTCTTTTTAATCCTCATGTCCTTCTGTTGCCCCCCACTTCCTCACTGCCTCGGCCGTATCTAGACCTACAGCTAGTTCCCGATTTTCCCCTTTTGCATTGTGGCGTGGAATAACATAGCATCAAGCTCACTGCGACACACTGATGCGGGAGGATAACCAGCCCTTAACACACAGACATCATTTATCAGTTAATTAAATTTCACATTATAACATTTTCAGTGGCTTACGCCAAGTTGAAAAGCCTGCATTTACGAAGGAGTTGTCTCTTTATCTCTATGAGTAAAATGACCAAAACAGTCTAGGTGCAGAACCTGCACCGTGAGGTTCTCCTCCGCTGTCAGAACCGGAAGTTTATTTAAAGCCTTTCCAAGTTAAAGCGAAGTAAAATAAAAGCTAGTATATTGGGAATATTTTACATTCAGTCTTAATTTCCTCGGTCTGTATAATAGAAATGTTTTTCTCTATTCATGTGTTTAAAATCCGTGTATCATTCGTTCTTTCTATTTTCAATTGTCAATCAAAAAACAAAAAATAAAAAATTGACTGGTTATTTTGGTTTTTGTTTTTTATGGTTAAACCAAAAACGAAAAAAGGATTTGTTTTTCATATATCAATTCTAAGCTCAGATCAAGAATACGAAATGGAAAAACGGACAGCAACGCAGAATTT